TTTGTGCGTCGCAGGTGAGAAAAGGTTGCGGAGCACTGTTCTAGCTCACAGTAGCCTTATCTAGTGCTGATGTGTTCGATATTTTGAAATCCGGACATTCTGTTCGCTCCCGTTCTCCTTCGTTCCTTTGATGTGTCTGTCAAGAATACAGTCAAGACTCATTCATTCAAGCTCCTGGGCTTTCTAACCTAACTGAACTGCTTAATTACCTACAAATATCAGCTCAATATCTGTAGATATTGTAATGTTAATATAACTATATATTCTCATTGGAAAGAAGGTTTGTTTCTTTTAAAGAAATAATACGTATATGATGTGTATGAAAATGAATAAAATGCAACTGTGTTCTTCGGAAATTAAACTACTGGCATAATTTTCTGTCAATTTTGGAATGATAAAATTAGTTTAAAAAAAGGGGGATAAGCAAGGAAATACGGTAATACCTTTGATTACTTTATGACGAAGGCATGGTAACAATTTTAATATATTTTGAGTATTCTAGTATGTTTACCACTTGATATAATTCTTTTTCACTCAGACATTTACACGTAAAATTCAATGATATATGCTTAACACATATTTTCAGATATCTAAACAAATCTTCAAAACAGCAGATTTTGTTTTGCAATCTTTAATCTCCAAAACAGCAGATTTTGTTTTGCAATTGCTGCTAAGTTTCTGGAGCATTTTGCATGTGTAGAAACTGTAATTGTACCAGATGGCTCTGTGTGCGCCTGAATTCCTTTGAGGACTTCAGAACTTTGATAACTGCGAAAGATGTAATACGAACGCGAAACACTAACTAAATTTTATATGTGCTTCTTTATTGTAAATGTATTTATTGTGTCGTAAAAGTTAGAGAAAGACAAAGGTGAGAAACTTGCTGCGTCTGACAGGTAAGCGAAATTTCTTTATTATTTGATTTGAATATTTAGTTTTAGAATATTTTAGCGAACGCGACAAAGAATGTATATGTGTATTTACAGCATTGAAATGTTTAAGAACTGTTTTCTTTTTAATTAACTGAAACATACTAAATATTTTACTAACTGGAATTTTACTGCATTTGGATTACATAAAATTTTTAATTTTATTTGTATCCTCTGTGTTGAACCTGTCTTCATAAAGTACTTAAACCATATGTTAAGAAATTATTTTATTAGATGTGCATACATGTTTAAAATCGCTATTCAAAATTTAAAAACTACAGCCAGCTTTCATCGTATACCTTGTACATGCTGAGTATTCTCCTGTAATAACTTTATTGATGCTGAATAATTAATTCGTTCGTAAAATTCACATCTTTTCACTTAGATTCGAAAGAATATGCTTCTTTTCTTAAAAACTTAACTGTGAAATTCGCTCACCTGAAGACATTTGAGCCCCATCCAGCTAAAGCGGTGAATACTCTTGGACCCAGATCCCTGGCAGGATTGAGAGGTGCTCCGCAATTCAGTGGAAATGCAAAGATTATTGCAGACAGAGACAGCCCGATGACTAGAGGATACGATCCTTTCGGGATGGCCATGTTATGAGGATCAGTGACGGCCACGACAGCCATCATCAGAAGCATTGTTCCCAAAACCTAAAGGATGAAATGGGTCAAACATTAAACAATAGTTCTTTTTGTCAATATTTTTCCACGAATTTTATTAATCTGATTGAATTTTAAGTTCCATTTGGCGTTATTTCAAGGTTTTCTCGCCAAAGAATTTTCTTTACAGTGTTGATAAACACTGCAAAGAAAAACTGCACAAAATAAAAAAGTTCTTAATTTAAAAAGAAATGTAAAAATGAATTGAAGCCTTGATAATGATTATAAAAATTTGATATTTTTGTAACACTTCGACTACAGGTTATTGTTTTCAGTTAACGGGAAATGCTGACTGTTACAAAGGAATAGGCGGAAACATAAGAGTGCGTTTCTGACAATCGGCGATTCTTATAATCTTTATTTTTGATATTATAAATGTGCACCATACATTATTGTAAAAAGTTGATCATTTAAAAATTATTTTAATTATACTTTTTTAAAAACATTTTGCAGAAAGTGTTTTTTTATATCATATTTCTAATAAATAAAGTATCTTTTGAGTAGTCTAAAATATATTCGCTAGAAAATTTTTAGCTCTTTTAGCTCTACTTCTGCATATTGCCATCTGCATCCGAAATAAAACTGAATGGTAATGATAAAATTTCATACACATCGGAATTCTCCATAAATATTTCTTCTCTAATTTTATTTGAACGACAAGAATACTAATTTGGGAGATAATACTAATAATTCATACATTTTTTTTCCTTTTTACAAAAAGGGAAAAAAGCGGAAGCAAAAATTGGAATTTTAAAAATGAAAATCTTCTAAAGTTTTATTTTTATTCAACTGTGAAAACTTAGAGTTTGTCTAACTGACATCTGTGGATAGTACTTTTATTCAGGAAAAGAAAACCGAAATGCTTGTAATCGCATAGAAGAAAAGATGACAAATAAAAGATTAAAGGAAAAACCCACAAAACTCCTAACAGCCCTATTTTTTATTCACAAAGGCTTCGAAACATTCATCAGACTAGAAACTGAAAATATCTGTATTTATTGCTAATGAAGTCAGTTTAACTGTACATTGTTACAGCCTGGGAAACGGAAAGGAAGCCAACAGCAAGTTTTTCAAAACAATATCTTTCGAATCAATCCATCTTCTGGGTTACAAAGGGAAACACACTGTTTTGTGAAGACCTAAATGTCTTCTGTATTCCTGATAATATTTTCAAGAGTGTGTGTTGAAATTTTCTAACTGTCATGTTGTAGGATTTTATAATAATGAAAAATTTTCATGATCTTTACTATAACTTCTTCTTCCCGTAGACCTCATCAAAATGCAAATTAGTTGTTACAGTATTTAAATGGAGAGCTTTGAATGTTTTAAAATTAGATCTTTCGTTAATTTCGTTTGTAGTTATTCCGGTTTAGGTTATTTTGCTAGTCGACATTTAATGCGTGCATGAGCTAACGAAAGGCTATATTTTGCATAACAAAGTATTAATGATTAATGCTGCAGTTATATATCCAAACCAAGGTCTTCAAAACCTGTATTTGACTGAATGAATAAATAATTTTGCTTTCGACATTTTTCTATTAATCTATTATATAATTACGTAATGTAAAATATTAGTTAATACATTTTTATAAACGTGCCAAAGTGTTTCATGCAAAACCCATGTAAAGAGAATATTAGAATTAATTTTAATATCATTAATAGGTATTATTTGATAACGAAATTTAAAGTCGCTTCAGATTAACAAGATGCTAACGAGAAATTGTTTTATTACATCCTCTTTGGGAAAGAGCAAGCATTTTTAAGTAAGTATAACTAAACTGTAAATCTTTACTTGCCTGATCTCCAAAAGCAGTCCAGTTGCTGACATGCTCTGGAGCATATGTTGCAAAAATTTGTGCCGTAGCAGAAGCATTAGGAGGTATTTCTCTCAAATCTCCACTGAAGTGATAGAAGGCTTCTGCAAAGAACAATTAAGAGGTTACTTCAATTTCTATTGATATCTATGGATCAAAACCACAAGATTTATGGCAGAAAATTTATGTAAAGCAGCTGAAAAATAATTGTGGAGTTACACAATACAAAATGTTAAGCAATATCTTTTGAAACGTTTTGATGGATAGCTAGCACAGATACAAAACAAATGTTATGTATTAAGCCATTTACAGCAATGGTACATATAGAAAAACCATTGTAGAGTTATTTCCTTTAGCTAAATGAAATTTTAAATAGTTTCAGTGAAAATAATAGTTTTCGCATATGACTTTAAAAAATTAATGGGAGCTATGTTTTACGTATGTTTCGTCTAACCTTTTCTGCAAGACTAATACTTAACATATCCTGCTCAAATGCAGCAAATGTTGCTGGAGTTTCCACCTAGTATTTTGCATTTAAAATAAACATTCTATGTTCTAATTGGCATAAAACGAAAATAATTTGTTTTTGAAGAAATAATAGACAATCTGAAGCTAGCACTTTAAATAACAAAGCTCTTTAAACTCAGTGATATTATGTATTTACAATTGTCATATATTATGGGAAAGATATGCTCGAAATGGTGGGCAAAAAGATAAATAAACAACCCACAACGACAGCGAAACGATACTCAGACAGGCTTGAAAATAACGCGTATGCTGTTGATGTCTACCGCAACGAACGATGATCGGCCTTGTGAAATCCTGCAGTTTTTCAACAGGCGTCTTATAAATGAGTGATTTAGGGTGCCTCCAAAAAGAAAACGTTCAAAAGATTGAGGCTTGGAAACGGCGCGGGAGCTAAGAAAGCTAAGAAACGGCGCGGGAGGTGGACTACGTCCAGTCCATCTCCTGGGATGAGCATACAGATGGTTATACACTGCACTGTAAAAATATACTTAAGTAACATCAGGAATAAACCATATGCCTCTCTGCACTGCGAATGGTACAGTCAGTAGCAAATCTGGGAGGACGTTTTTCAGAAGCTACGAGTAACGTACATTGCACTATCCAGGTTTTCGGATAAAAGGCGCTTTCAGCAGATGATCATCGAGGATTCTTGCCCAGATGTTGACACTAAACTTGTGTTTAATTTTTCGGGGACAGTGGTATGAGAATTTTATGTCTACTTATGTATATGCAATGTGCAAGTTAGCAGTAGTGTCTAATGTTAAGCTGGCCTCATCAAAGACTAAAACAGCGGTGGAGAAGGGAGGATTAGTCCTAGTAGCGTCAAACATCCAACACACGAACTGTACAAGATTCAGACAGTCATCGCTGGGTAAGAGTTATTGAGGGTACAGACAGTCATCGCTGGGTAAGAGTTATTGAGGGTACAGACAGTCATCGCTGGGTAAGAGTTATTGAGGATACATGTTTTTAGCATGCAGAATCTTCACCATCTCTAAGTGTGGACATGGAGTTTAGCGGATATCATTCACACACTTGTCGATGGGAGTGAACAAACCATTGCACCATGTGTACCTTCATTTCAGGAGAGCGCGCAATGCACAGTGGCCCTTCATCCCCATATATATGAGTTTCTAGTGATCGTTAGGATCAACGAATCGCAATGAAAAACTTCAGATATAAGATGTGATGAAATTAAATCCATAAAGGGTGTTGGAGTTTTATGCGTAGCTCAAAAAACGCCTCTGGAAAGGCATTGGCAGCGAAGAAGATTGCATCATTGGAAGACAATTGAAGTAAGAAGTATGATAAACAGTTACATAAACGAACATTATCACTGAAGTAAAATTGCATGTTCGCTGCAGAAAATCAGAATATCAATCGTATAAGGTAAGTAGCTAGCACAGATCATAATACTCCATAAGAAGTATCACGAAAGAGCAGCATTTGTTTGGATTGTGTAGATAACGCTCGCTATTACCTGCAACGTACGTACAGTCTCACAAACGTGATGTAAATATATTGCATAAACATTTCCGTTAAAATGTCCAAGGAGGAGAAAAACAATAATCGCACATCGCACAAAACATGGTAGAAAAAAATGCTATAAATTCTTCGAAATTTCAAAACATAGCAATAAGAAACAAAGTAGTTAGAAAATATCTCAGGAACATACATTTCAAAAGTGGCTAAAAAGCGCATAAAATATGCTTTAAGAACTTTTTTTTTCGGTGATATTTTCAAACTCGAAATTTTGCTACCACTTTATTGTTTATCATGATGCCATTTCTAAACCGAGAAATTTGATCTTTGAGTTGTTTTTAATCCGGCATAGTTTTGTAAGACGATGTTTTCAGTGTCTTCGTATTATTCTTTCTGTGATGATTTCTTTTATGTTTTCGCCGAGATGGCTTTCGTGTATATTATGGCCAAAGAACTTCTTAAAAGCTATTTAATACCTCGAAGCGCATGAAACTATTGAGATGTGGCACTTTGTTCCCAATGACATTTCGTTACACTTGGTGAATAAACGGGTCAACTACCTGAGTTATTTTTGTGTTTATCCTCCTAAATAGTAAGCGATCATCTTTAGTTTCTCGCAGAAACTTTCACCTCTTGAATATTCCGAACATTGCCTTTCGGATAACCTAATTTATTCCTCCAAAAGTTTTACGAGAAAACATAGCGTACTTATTAAATTCATTATTAGAGAGCGGATTAACCACTATGCTATAACCAAGTGAAATAATAGAGCAATCTTCCAACTTTGACATGAATGGTGCATATGTATATAGAAATTTTAATCTGTAAATAATATCAAAATAAGTTATAAGCATATCAAATAAATTATAAATAATATCAAAATAAGTTTTAAGCATATCAAATAAATTATAAATAATATCAAATAAATTATAAATAATGTCAAATAAATTATAAATAATATCAAATAAATTATAAATAATATCAAATAAATTATAAATAATGGCAAACTGATATATTATTGAAATTAAATAAAAGATGAAAATTATTAGGAAAAATCTATTGTTTTTAAATAATTCCAGGAATAATCCCATCCAACACTAACCTTTTCACTACTAACCGGGACATATGCGTCTCACTAAAAATTTAAAAATTACTACTGGTTAGAAGATTGCTAAGAATCTTCTGAATTGAATCATCTTCCAATAGTTGGCAAATGAAGACTCCGCTGTGCCACTGTACACTAATGAACACAGAAAAAAGAACAAATATGAGCTGCCCAATGTGTAATGTTGGTTATGCAAGGAATGCTTTACCCTGTACCATACGATATACATCTATTTCACATAAAGGTTTTCAGGATAAAATAGGAGTGCTTATAGTAAATCGATCGCTACGTGTGGGACATATGTATCCCACTATTAACTACTGCTCGGACATATGTGTCCCAGCTTTTGGCTCGAAAATCGAGTGTCAAAAAAATCCCAAATGCTAAATTTACCTCATTTATGACATATTTTGTTCACCTGGATAGAAAACGGCGTAAAAATAATTTATTTTAAATTTAGTCAAAGGGCTAAGTTGCCTGAGATATGTATTTTGCGGTCTGAAAGGTAAAATTATATATCGTCTATCGCAGAGACTGGCAACAGATCTAAAAATTTGTATTTATAATAAATCCGATAACGTAATATAATGGGATATGAAAAAGGGAAAGTTTAATTAATCGAAATTTTTAAGGTTTAAATTAAACCATGCAAGGAAATAATTATTTAATAAAGGAACTGGCGATGGAAAACTAATTCATATATTACATAACACCCCATATATATATATGAAAGAATATTTTTTTCAACTGTACTGTAATGTTTTTTTCATTTAGAAATATTTACCATGAATTCTTTCTAAAAATAACGCTTTTTTAAAAAGAGAAAATAAAAGTTTCAGGCACTGGTTATATATTTCGAAACTATTAAAAGGAAATGATATCATATGCATTTGGGTATTTCTTCAAGCTCATATCAGCTTCAAGCTTTTGTCATATATTGTTTCTAAAATTCATGTGAACTTTTTCACAAAACTTATTTAAAGCGGTGAATTGTTATTTCTTTTCGTGCGATTTCGCACTTGAATTGCTATTTTACATCACAAGTTTTGCAGTTAGAATTCTTCAGCTACTATCATTGCCCACAAGAAATTCACTTTACGCAATTCAGAACAGAAGATGAATTTTATACAAATATCATTGAATAATTCATTGAGTATAATGCAATAAGTAAAATAAACATACACAAGATACCATTTAACAATGGTACCTTGCGTCAGAATGGTCACGTTTAATTGCCTATTCTTACAGACTGTATCAGAATGAGCGAAATTCTGTGCAAATGATTCCATACCTATCAGATAACAGTGGTGGCTAAACATCGCTTTTCCTGTTTATAATTCTTTCGAGGTATGAAAAGAGTTCAGACCAAAGTACTCATGAAGACTAGGTCAAACTGCCAAAACTTCTAGTTTTTTGATACTATTACCCCGAAGGAATCACGTTTTTGATCAAAGATTCATCATTACCGGCACAACGACCTTGACTCGCTGATCTTCGGACCTCGTGGTCTAGATCCGCCGTGTTCGATCCGATTTCTAAGCCTCTTTTGGATTACCAGTCGACGAAAAGGAAATAAATGTATTTACCAGTTAAACGTTCTATGTCAATAAAAAAAGTTTGTCTGTGTTATTATCGCCTTTAAGTACTTCTTTATTTACCTTTCATTTTATCAGGTGAAATTTAGAAATCGATTCTTATATAACAGAGGTGCATATAAAAGATGACTTTTTAAAATAACAGCTCCTTTTAACAAAATTCTTTGATTTTAAATAAATAAAATTATATTGTTAATACTTATTACCTATATTTCTCTTTTAATAGCTAAATTTTCAGTATTCAGTTTGTTCTAGATCCTTCTTCTTAATATCTTAAATTTTTAAAGTTTCAGTCCAGGTTTCGATGGTTGAACTGCATCGAGAATGACTATAATATAAAAAATTATTAAGTCAAAATATTTGGTCAAGCCGAAAGAGCGGAAGATTGTTTTAAGAAAGATAATGGCCTACCTTGGGTTTTCGCGCGAACAGTAGAAAATGATGATAGTGTTAATTCTTTAACAAAATTTTTCATATAAGGTATGGAAAATTCAAATTATTTTCTGCATGGCATTTTCTAATTTTCATTCTCCCTATTACGCTACAGTTCTGATTACGAAACGTCTTCTAAATTTCTGCCTACAAAATTTCATCTGCAGACTAAGTGAAGCCCGAATATTAGTATCACATTTATCAGATCTCTAGGGAATTCGTAATAAAATTAAAAAAATTAGAGATAAATTCTATTTTCTGGAGTGATAAAATATTAAAAATTTAATGCGTAGAGTAAAAATAGTAAGTAATTTTCCTAGAAAATATTTGAAGTATTTTGATTCTCGGTTTGCTTTTATCAGCAATAATACAGGCTGATTAATGCTGATAACAATCACACTGAAATATGCTGAGAGCGACGGGAAGGAAGCATTTGTTTCAGATAAAAACTGATAGAAACTAATACACACAGTAAATTAATGAAAAAGAGATGAAAATATTTTTCTCTGCCCTCCCCCCCTCTCTGGTTTAAAATTCCAGGCACTCCTCTGTTATGTGTCGAAAAGATACGGAGACACAATAAATACTCTATTCATATTCAAATTTAATTTAACGAGAACAGTTTTTAAGATCACTCTAATATTAGTTCCTCTGTGTTGCTACAATTTGTTTTTGATGGCATGGAGATAGATGGTATGGAATGGTATGGATGACATTGGAAGCATGGAGATGGATTCTGAAGTAAAGATGAACATTTAAAATTTAAACGTAGACAATATAAGCGTTGAAATTAAGGCAATTAAAACCTTGTTGTATATTTGCTAATAAGATTAATTTAATGAATTATTTCCTTTAAGGTGAATTATAGTTGCATTTCTTTGTATCATTTTAAATCAAATGGGAAAAACATTATTATTTAGAATTTTAAAAAAGAAAACTTTATTCACTCCTCAGTGTTAATAATATTCGCTTAAATGGAGATTAGGAAACCCTTGACTTTGTTAGAACTGATATCATTATCTTGACCTTATGCATGAAATACAGAAATGGGTGTGAATCCTTACCAAGGTAAACAGTGAAAAGAACAATGGCTGAAACGAATGCGCCAGCGTACTGAGCAAAAATATACGGCATCACTTTCTTCCAAGGCAATTTTCCCACCGTTGCAAATGCTAGCGAGACAGCAGGATTGGCATGGCAACCTGAAATTAAAATAATAGAAGAAATTTTTAATAACTAATTTCTTAAACATTACACTAAAATAATAATTTTTTAAATTAAAAGAAAGTCTTATTTCAAATGATAGGGAATATATACTGCTGGACAGATGCTTAGGACAGATCTCAAATTTCAATGCAGCCAAACATAAGCGGAATTGAATGCTAAGAAGGATAATATATTGCTGCCATACTGTTCGGGCATTAGAATAAAGGACATTTATTCTTCAAGAAAATAAAGAAGGTTTTGAAACGTCCAAAAGTGAAAAAAAGGTTTTCTTTTGATGCTGTATACGGAAAAATGCATATGAACGACAGCAGACAATTTCGAGATAGGTGTCAATATGAGGTATGTCTACCGTGGATTCCGATGCAGCTTTCCACACATCGTTCATACTTTGCGCATCATTATCCTGCAGCTGTTGAGGCAATTAATCCCACTCTTCTATCAGTGTACGGATGAGGATTCGTGGGAGGATATTTGAAGCCAGTAAGTCACCTTCTCAGAGCATTTCAAACATTTTCAATGTGACTTAGATATGGAGAACGTGCTGGCCATACGAGGCATGGAATATACCGCTGTCTAGATAATCCTGAACAGTGAGTATTAGATAACACGGTGCGTCATAGTCTACGAATTTATTACCGAAAGTACCACGGAAAAGGTGAATATGAGGAAGTAGAACTTCATCAATATATCGTTGGCCAGTTATTGTCCCATATGAACCACATGTAAGAGCGTGCGCCCATTGATCATGAAGGGCCCCACACCCTGATATTTTATCTCGGATGTGGATCCCTTTCTTGAATACTTTCTGGGCGATAAGCAATACCACTCTCAATTAAGAACATTTGGCGTCTACAATTCGATAACAGACTGAACCTACTCTCATCTGCGAAGAGAATGCAAGCACAGACCTGTTCAGGCCAACTGCGATGGTCCCGACAAAATGGACGGGACCGTACTGTCTCGACAATTGTATGCACACTTTTTGGACAACGGAACCCATACAACAGGTCTACGGGTGTATACTCCTCCTTCTCCCAGACATCTGGCTACAGTTCTTCGGAAACTCAATTTCCTATGGCAAAAAGAGGCTCTTTTACTACCTGGAGCTGTGGTGCACCAATTTTATTTTTGTCGATAGGCCTCCTGCAGAATGTCGCATATGAAACGCGACCTCCAGCATGACGTTCCCTACACTTTCCAGTTGTTTTAAATCCTTTCCACAGCCTACAACAACGTTGAGGGCGATCTTGAACTCCCTGGAAACATCTGTTATTTTTCACCCGTCTTCGAACTTTTCAATGATACGGCCATGCGTAAAATCCTGTAAGTGATGTCGGGAAGACATACTGAAACTTCCAAGATAGTCAATTAAATCTTTGTAAAATTTCGGTAAAATAGCTGCTGGCGTGGATCAAATGCTTTAAATCTATTATTAGCGCTTTCACGCGATGAACAGTTAATTAAATGAAAATTTGCATACGCGCATCCGTTCTTACTGTATCCCGCATATTATAATTTTTCACATTTTGCTTCCTCTTATTTTGGGATTGTTATGGTTCACAGTGTTGTTCGTCCTTAGCAATTGCCCATTAGTGGATTTATGAATTGGAAAGATATAACCTTCGACTGAAATACTTAAAGATTTCCACTGGGAGTTCTTCTCTTGTGGATAATAACGCTAGAATGGAAAGTAGACAAAAACTGAATAACGGCAAGGGCTTAACCTATTCGCTTCCAATGAGTTATGCATGATACACTTCAGGTTTCCTCTGTGAGCCCACCGTATCGAATGTGATAGAGCGAAGTGTTACTGGCGGTCCTCCTATTAATATTTAAGATACTGCACTCAGGCGAAATGTTTTATTTGAAATTTTAAATGATCGAAAATGACGCCAGAATATCGTGAAATGTAATTGAATAGATTGGAATGAGCGCTTATCTTTTATTTTGATTATTATTTTACGAATTTATTTATGTCTGTAAAGTACGCGAGACTTATAATGTACTTTTGTTTTTGTTGCTGCTATTGTGGCTAATCTCAGTTGTATGACCTAATCCTAACAAGCTGATGTAAAGAGTGCAAGATCGCATCTATCGTTGGCATGAGTCTTGAGCACAATAACGGTGACAGAGTAACTTTGCCTAGCTCTGTCCCAGTTTGAGAGGAGATTACCCGGGCGACGGGTCTAAGAGTCTCTCATCCCTTTTTTCCCTACCACCAAACCATTCGAAAGAATTTTCTAATCGTCGTACATTTGGACTACCACCATGCTGCACATGTGCTATATATTTATAAACCTCTATGCTTTTTCCTAGATTCGCACCAGAACCCAACGAATGAAACAGCGACCAGATGCTCTAACCACTATACTGATAGAGACTGCCTTCGTATATCAGTATTAACGATGGAAATATAAAAGGCACTGAAATTTAAATTACTAAGTTTACTACTTCATTATTGTATAAAAATAATTTAAAATGTAAATGTAATCATTATTGCTAATATTGCACTTTAATTTATTTTTAATTATAAATATTTAGATTTTCTGCTTATATTATGAAAGTAACATTTCGTCAATATATGCAAGAATACAAAATTTCGACAAAAAGCAGATTTTATTTTAGCATGCTACTCTTAACTGTGAAACTTGGTCAGGCATACAACTATGTTCAGAGCTCCAAAGTTATGGGACAATGAAAGAATTTAATTCCTCTGGAAACGGGAGTGAAGAGCTTGAAATGAAGAGATAAGGGCAGTAGGTTTCCAAATTCCTAGATTATGGAAATTTGCAGCATGAGTATTCCATTAGGGTCACATTTTGCTCTCCAGAACTATACTAGTTTTTGAATTAAAAGTTGAATGGGTTTCTAGTCTTCCGATTCCTTTTTGAGCATCGAATGTCGGAAATCCAGATAGGCCAGCCTGATGGGTGTAGTGGTTAATTTTACTGGCTGCCACGGCACTGGGCGGAGTTCGAATTCCAGAAAACGTTTGGATATTTGTAATTTATAGTTTATATTGCGGCGTGGGTTCACTTTACATGCTCGGAGAACTCTACGAGCTGTAAACCTTATTAAGACCTATTGGTGGTCGGAGAACAGGGGTTTGTGATGGTTGGATCTGTTTCCCAGGAGACATTTCTTCAAAATGGGGACAGAGACTAAAGTCGAGTTATTCCTCTGTAAAGTTTCCAAGGCCCATGACAGCGACAGACGAGGCCTGGCGAGGAGCGCAGGATTCCGTAATTGTCGTAAAATTCGTGAATATTTTCTGATGTCACAGTCACACAAAACCCACAGAAGTCGCTCCAAACCCAGACAGAATACCAGCTTTCTACTACTGTGCTATCTGTTCTTTAGAGTCCTTTGAAAACTGTTAATAGTTTATGCTTATAATAAAGCTTTAAAATTAGATGACTCTCAAACTGATATTGCAAATAAAATTTTAAATAATTTACCTTCTTCAAGGAAGTATTAGAAATATTTAACCTATCATTTGATACTTTCACACAGTTTAGAAACAGCTTTTTTTATCAATTATATAACAAATTCCATTTCTCTGATAGATACTGCGAACCACATCAAATTTCTCTCGATAAAATTATTATCATGAGCATTCAACATAAATGCAAAAGAAGAGTTTTATGTAATCTGGTGAAAATGATCTGATGCATGAGAATTCAAAAGATCTGTCTTTTGCAGTCAATCTACAGTTATAGAAATTGAATGAAGTTAATGCATACGATCACTATTTTAACAATTAAAGTTAACAATAAAATTTGATTGAAAGATTTATCATTTCACGTTTTCTCTTCAGAAGAATGATCTCATACTTGTCTGGCGATTAAATAACACAAAATCTTCCACTTAAACTATGCGAATGCTTTAATAATGAAGGGGTAGAAAGAAAATATTCAGCAGCCTTTTCCAGAAGGCTACATAAATAAGGATTCGGAAATGTTATTTAACATTTCTGAACCAGTTCTGCGAGATAAAATTGTACGAGACATTCTTAAAAAATAATAATTAAAAAAATCGTCAGTAATAGCTCATGTTTTATTAGAAGAAGTATTTTCAGCAAAAAAGGCAATTGCTCAGTACGTTTACATAAACAAACAAGCAAACAAAAAACTATACCACATACCTGAAACGCCACCTGTGACTGCAATAGCGACCATGAGAGCAACTCCCCATCCTAGTGGCCCTGCTACTGCACCAATATTACCAGCATCACTGAAGACCAAAGTCGCAATCACTCCGTTGCCAATAAGCTGCAAAGAAAAATGGAAAACTTTTGAATATTTATTGTCCGACAACTACGTAGAATAACGCAGGCTTGATACTGATATTCTCAAATGTATCATACTATACAATGCTAAGCTCATACATTGCTTACATAACATTTACTTAAAATTTTAATTTATCATACATAATTTAAATTTACCAAAATAAAACATTTACTTGGTCAAACTATAATTTTTCGATGCTGTTCCTAACAATATTTATAAATCTTTCCCTAAATCATGAATAAATTTAAAAACAAATTATTTGCTTACAATGGGCAGATATTTTTTCTAAAGTTAGAACACAGTAAACTGGAATTGGTATCAAATATAATCTCAACAATATGACTACTTGTAGAGTCATTACGCTTGTTGTAGCAGGACATATGAAAAAAGAGCAATGCCCTCGCAAGGACTGCCAGACGGCGTATTTTCCAATTACATGCGATAAGGAGGGAGAAAACACTTTATATTCTCCCCCCTCCACACACACTTAAAAGGCAGGAGGGGACTCAATCGCCTAAACGTGCTGGTTACGAATTAGTATCCACCACATTTTTTTTAGCTCGGACGTCACTTACAGAATAATTTAGAATTTTTTGAAGTCAGAAAACCGAAAAAATCCGCAATGCCCTCGTGAGACGTGCATTTTCGGCCTCGCGATTCTTAGCCTACCATGCCTTCCAATTAAATTATTAAGACACGCGGTAAGGAAGGAGACAATTTTTACATTCTTTTCAAAATTATATATAACATAATACGGAATTAATACTAAATGTAATCCTAACTACCACATTTACTTGCATCCTTTTCATTTTACTTTTTGAGTGTAAAATTCAGTATAATTACCATTTTAGAGAGAAATACTGAAGAAAAAAAATAGAGGATTCAAATGAGAAAGGGACAAAGTACTTTATATTTCAGGAACCCGTTGTTACTCTTAAAAATATCCTTTTTACATGCGTTATGTGCTTTGATCTGTACAATAGTAAGTATAGCGTAATTATCATTTTAGAGAAAATAGTAATAGTATCGTTACCATTTTAGAGAGAAAAGTTAAAGAAAAAGTAGTGGATTAAAAATGATACAAGGACAAATGTATTTATGTTCTATATTTCAAGTACTTTTAATTTTGAAAAAATCGTTTTTACTTGCATTATATACTTTGATCTGGCGCATTGCTACCAAAATTTGAGATTTTTAATTATGATTTAAAATGTTCCAAGAGACAAACGTGAGCCTACAAATGGTCGTAGTTTATCGTGAAAGGTATTAAACGTTCCGAGCAACAATGACTACCCCGATTTACGTCTGAAAATGATGTTTCGTTTGAAAATGATGTTTCGGACAAATTTAGGAGTGAAATTGCATTTTTAATCAGTCATATCTTCAGACTTATTCTTATAAACATTAATACTTTAATAAACGAAAGTTAACGACAAACAATAAATCGATTTTATGATCTATTTTTCTAATTACTATATAATATGTCTATTTTATTTATGTTAATAATAAACAGACTTTATTAATAAATAATAATTTGTTATTTACATTTAAATATCATTATCAGAATAAATTACATATTGATTTTATTTTTATTAACTTATTATTAGAAATATAAATCCATAATTATTCTGATATATTTCGATAATTAAGTATTTAAAAATGTGGCGATATAACATATGCGCTTTTTACGTTGCCTTAAATTTCGCTGTTAAAAAGTGAAAAATTACGAAAGCCGCTATCAAACACGTTATAATATGGAATATACAAAGTTTATCTTATGTCTTGTTTAGATTTAAAAATCTCTTTCAAAATAAAGATAGGAAGCCTCAGAAAATTAAAATATGTGCCAAAGTATGACATTATCTATTGACATATTTAGGATTACTTTTACATTTTGTGCATGTTATTTGAGTTTTATGATAAGCACAAATCTTATGAATATTTTCAATTCTCTCTGATGTCATAAAAAAGATCTTGACACAATATTGTTTTTAAAATCAGTAATTCTAAAATAAGATCATTGTTTGATTAAAACAAGATTTCTAAATGCTACCAAGAATTACTTATGATTGCGGCTTAAGCTCTAGAGAACCTGCCCTAGATTTTTAAAGTGCCCAAACCCTTTTATAACTTTTCCTAGCTTCATTTTGCTTATCATAAAAGCAGTGAACGTAAGACTAGTGGCCCCAAAATGTTACACTGCGCTTTGCAAAGATTTTAGACTGTCTTAACCGGACCCTGTTTTAGCTGCAGACTTTTTAATTTTTTCCCAATTAAAAAAGATGTTTGCCAAGTCCCAGAAAAAGGGTTTTAGCATTGCCTACTGCCTATGGTCAAAAGTGCTCAGTTTCTAAGAAGACTGACAGAAATTAGAAAACTGATTCAAATAAACAGCATGGTGATTTTTAAACTAATAATCAAAAGGACCATTTTTTTAATACTGCTTTTTGCATAATGCAATTAAAAGTTGTTGCTCCAAATGCATCATACTGCAAGATTTAAGACTCGACTTAAGTAATGACGAATTGGCAATATTCGTTTTTTTATAAACTTCCTTTTTGTTGTTAATAACCTATTATTAAGACTAAAAACAGAAAGCAAAATACATTAATAAAGTTTTTTATGCAACTAGGTTTTTATTTAAAATGGATATGCTAATTATTGCATAAAAAAAGAGAAAAATTAAGTTATCAAATAGTTTACTGGGAATAATAGATTAAATAATTCTATTTACAGAACTTATCTATAGTTTTGTTTCTCGAATAATAAAAGCCAATGGTGTCCACTGTAAAGTAAAAAAAAATTATGACTTATGCATTTAAATTAATAGAAAATTAAACTGATAGTGACTTTTACATTTGACAGTGCAATCAAATTAATAGATTACGTTTGTCCCAAGCTCTTATTATTAGCGATATAAAATTGTAGATGAATTCTGTAAATAATATTATTTAATTTATTGTTCCCATTAAACTATGCACTAAACTACTTTACTTCTTTTATTACATTAATTATCATATCGATTTTAATTAAAAGCTTATTGAATAAAACCGTTTTTTTATTTAAATGTGAGATATATGAGAACAGAAATCGTTCCATAAGCCTAGATTCATAATTAAAATAAAAAATATTTCCTTGCTATAATAACCAATATTGTTTATTTAACTATGTTTATGAAATTATATGGATGATCTTGACCCCAATTTTAATTTCTAAGAAAAGATGGCGGCATATATTCTTACAAAAAATTATGTAGAAAAATTAGCATTTAAGTTCTTTTACAAGCAAAATATGACTGATATCCTTTGAAGTCCACTAACCAATTCATTATTTCAGCATCAGCGTTGCGGACGGGAAATATTTGTCATGCGGGATGTTTCTGTTGTCTTAACCTGTCCCAGTTTGCTGGAAGTACACTCATTTTATTATCATCACCTTTCATTTACGACATCTTGTTCCAGCACTTTCACATTTTAGCACAGATTCTGTATACTTCAGACGAACACCCCATTAACATCTTCAATCAGACGTAGGTTTCGCGGTTGCTGCAAACCTGCCAGTGACTCGGCAAAGTTCTCTGTGACTTCAGTAAAAAAGAGTGAAAAGAAAAAAACGTCGCAGCAGCTCCAGTGTGAGAATTTCTCATTGTCAAGTGAAAGTTATTTCACCTTTGTTTGAAGAAGAAACTTGCTTTGCGTAATATTCGCATTAAGGATAATGTTTGAGGTTAAGCTTAGTTTGTGGGCGTTGCTTCTGGTCATTAAGAAACTTCAGAAATGAGACTGGAAAGCATATGCAACATCAACTTTAGTTTTTACAGCCTCTTTTCTTAATCATGCCTGAATGTTAGAAACTTTTTTAATAAACTGCTTCTTTGTTAAAATTAACAATCAAAAATTTAAATTCTAAGACAGTTTCCTAGTGGTGTCGGTATGGACCCCGCTGGAGTCGATGAATTTTTAAAGGAGGTCTACGATGATCAAGCATCAATGGCCCTTTATGCACTTGCCACTGATCATCGTAATAAAGATTCACTGATTACAAAAAGTGTATTAATAAAATTTGTAATTAATGATTTATTAATATAAAGCTTTATCGTAGAAATAAGTCAAGTCTTATTCAACACATATCACTAGACCAAGTTTTGGAAGTCATCCTAGGGAAATATAACCAAATTAAAGTTGTTATCGGACAAACATTAACGAGGTGATTTAAGAATTAAGTTAAGCAATTTATGCAAATATTTAAAAACTTGCGTAACTACACAAAGAGCAGCCATTGAACTTTTGTAAACTTAGAATCTATAATTTTGTTTCTGAAACTTGTTTATACTTTTAAAATTAAAAACATTAAGAATACGAAACATAATAAAACATCAGTCTAATAGACCATTTTTTTTTCAAAACTTTGTTCATATTTATAGTCTAACTGTTGTCTTTAAGTTATGTACGCTCAACTATTTGAATTACAAGTATGCTGTATGCTATATATTATACAGAAAAATGTAAGATGTCGATGAAGAAAATTATTCTTTTAGAAGCGGTCAGTGCAAGAAAAAGATTGGGCACCCCCTGTTGTAAGATAATTATTTAAATTTAGCTGTAATTTTTTTATGATCAATGTTTCGGTAGGAATGCTTTTTAAATATGTGAGGTAGTTACTTTTATAATAATAACTGCACAGTCTTAGAATGATTGGTGTTTAGCGGAGGGTGACGGCTCGTCCGAATATTAGAGTGTACAATAAAACCCCGAATAAAGCACGATTCTTGTGGTTGTGGTCTTTTGCTGTTTTGTTTTTTGGTAATTTGGTTTCTACCCCTTGTGGTGCATCTTTGCAGCTCGGGCAATACTCTAGGTGATGAGACGGCAGAATGACAAATGGGTTCGGCCATTCTCCAGAAATGCTCGAGGAACAAGTAAGTGCCCAGCTATTAAAAATATGTAGAGAGAGAGAGATATTTATTTGTAAACTATGTTTGCTCTTGGACTTACTACTGCTGACGCAACAATTTTGTCTTCTTAGAT